GCGAGGGAAATGTGTGAGAGCAAGGTGGGGAGGTGTGCAGAGTGTGTGTGAGGGGGGTCTCTCCCCCACAGACGGGAGGGAAGGGGGGTGTCCCCAGCGGCAGCAGCGTTCTGGGGGCTTTCCTGCCAGACCGCGCGTGTGGGGCTGTTCTCTCACAGGAAATGGGTGTCCCCTGCCCAGATTTAGGCTATTTAGGTACCTGGTTTTAGGCTCTCTTGCAGTCACCGGGGGGGGGAACGGAGACTCCTCGCTGCATATCGGCTAATTAAACCAGAGCAGCCGATTCAAGTCCTACTGTTCCTTCCTCTCAGACCACGGGCCTGGTTTGTAGCCTGGGTCAGTTGGCCTTTACACTGTAGGTGCCTGCATTGAGATTAAACAAACATGCTTGTGGGGTGGGCACATCAGGGGGAAAAAGATGGCTGAAAAGTAGGAGGTCGTGGTCCATAAACCAGGTGTGGAATGACACTTGAAGCAGCCAAAATCTTCCTCCTTGGCTGGGAGAGAGGCAAGAGAGAGTGGGGATGCCTCTGTATCCCACAGCACTGGCAGGAAAGGGTAAGGTTTTGGGGGTTTTTTTGTCAAATATTGCCAGGCATACACCCTTCCATTTTTGTGCATCACTACTATTTTCTCTACAGAAAGCACCCAAAGCTGGCAGAACATCTAGAACCTCAACCTGCTTCAAAGACTCCTGAAGTCGCCCCAAGACCTGTCAATTTATTTTGAGCTGAACACAGATATAAATAATGCTCTGACATTAAAGAAGACCGACAGCCGCGGAAACCTGTAACACTAGTAGGCAATTGTACACCATAGTTTGCTCAAACATCAGGTATTGTACGATATTACTGTTTTGACCTGCTACGTTGCCAAATCATGAATCACGGCTGTTCACGACGTAGAGATTGCAAAGTGGGAATTCTTTCTTGGGGCCTCAGCGTTGCCTCTTGCGTGCCCAACCTCTGCTGAACTTCAAGGGAGAATCAAACGCAAAAGGTTTGAGCTTTGGCCCACCTTGGGAAATAATGTGTTTAACTGTTAAAAATGAAAATCTGTGATACAGCAGAGGTTAGGGCCCAATAAGTTTCTATAGGTTAGACATGAAGAAAAATTTTTTCACTGAAAGGGCTGTCAAGCACTGGAAGGGGCTGCCCAGGAAAGGGGTCGAGTCCCCACCCCTGGGGGGATTTAACAGCCGGGCAGACGAGGTGCTTAGGGACAGGGTTTAGTGGTGGGATGGCAGGGGTAGGTTGATGGTTGGACTTGGTGATCTTAAAGGTCTTTTCCAACCTAAACGATTCTGTGATTCTAAATTCATATTGTACGTTTTTCCACCCTAATCTTTCATCTCACAGGTTTGACTGGTTCAGCAATCTCCGTTCAGATGTAACAACGTCTTGGAGCTCTGACTTAAACGTAAAAGCGTAACAACAAAAAAAAGGCTACAGAGCAGTCCTCTCAGGAGGACTGAAGCTGGTGAGTACATTACAGAGAAAGCAGAAGATGGTCTCTGTCAGAAGATGGTCTCACGGAAAGGAACAAAGCACAGCAGTGAGTTACCGTAGAGGCACCTGCCGAGATGAGAACAGAGGAGAAAGCTCCAGTTATGTGATAGAACTGACGGGAGTTTGACATTCAGCGCTTTTTCTTTGGTCGGTAAATCCGTACTGTGCTTTCTGTGAGCATCAAACCGCAGCACAAGTCCTCTGTGTGCCTGCTTGCTGCTTTCAAGCTGTCGTTGGAGCTCTCAGACCTTCGGATCGTTGTCCGCTCTGCCGCCTCTTCCGCAAGGTGCTTTCCTGCTCCCTGCCTGGCTTTTTCTGCGCTCTCCAGCCCCTTCCCCAGCTGCTGAATTTCCCGTTGCTTATCTTGCAGAGCTCTGCCCCGCTCCGTGGCCAGGTTCAGCACTCGCTCTTTCTCCTCGTTTGCCCTCTCCAGCTTGGCCTGCAGCTCGCTACCCCGAGCCTTGTGCGGACCTCCCGCGTGCTCTGTTGGTGCTCAGTTTGTTGGTGCTTCTCCTGCAAGGCGTTACGGCTGGGCTTTTTAGTGAATCGACTTCCCACGTGTAGGCACTTGCTTGTTGGCTCTGGGCTGCTGGCAGCTCCCTTTCTCGCTCCTGGGCTCCGCGGCGCTCTTAAGGACATTTCTCCTGTAAGCAGTCTAACTGCTGCGAGAGCTTTCTGGCCCGGGCGGCGAGCTGGAGCGCTTCAGCTTCCTCCTCCCTCGCAGTCTGGCTGAAGAGCGCTTCGTTCTCCTGCTGCAGGCGTTTATTCTCCTCCCACAGCCACATACACCATGTCCTGTGTTCGTCCTTGAACTGGGTCATTTTTCCATGGTTGTCGGCCAGATCCAGGGGAAGCGCCCCTCCAAACGCTGAATCCCTTGGGTCTGGGTTTTCATTTTCACAGCATCCTCCGTCCTCAGTTTCTCCAGCTCCAGGTGGAGCTGCTCCAGGCGGAGCTGCTCCAGGCCTTTGCGTGCATCATCTCACGGTTTTTTTCCTCATTATACGGATAAGGGGACGCTGTTCTAGGCGTGAGTGCAGCAGAGCCTTCGCACTCTCCTCCTCTTCAGGGCTCTCGCAGAGCTCCTCCAGGCCTTTTGTCAGACCTTCCACGTCTTTGCCCTTCTCCGGATCCCTTGTGGGGTTGGCCACCCCTGCCTCTCTCATCCTGAGCCACGGAGCCCCTGTCTCGCACAAAGATGAGACAGAATGTTGTAGTGACCGCTTCGCCTAGTGACATTCGGCATCATTAAACAGTACCCGAGGGTGACGTGGCCAACACCGCTGTGATAAGCTGGCGGAGTTCCTCTGCAAGTCCAGAGAAGGCAAAAGCAAAGAATGTAGGCTTAGTATTTATGCAAGCCTATTCATCTGCTGATTAGTAGCTTTGCTAATTATTCCTTCTCAAAGCGCTGCTGTTGTAGCTACAAGAAGTACTGTTATATTCAGGTAAAAAAATCTTACAAGTGATAAAGCTGTAAAGAATTCCTTAAGCAGTCCTTTTCCTCTGCCTGTATTTTCTCCTATGGCTCTGGTATTGCAAGTGCAAGTAAAGCACGGAGGGTTACATCAAACTTCTAATTGATTTATAAGATTTTAATAGTATATTGGCTCACTAAAAATAACTGAATAGCCTTATCCCACGCTTAGAGGTTTATGAATAAAATAAAAGATCTATACAATGCAACTACCTGAAAGGAGGCTGTAGCAAGGTGGGGGTCGGGCTCTGCTCCCAGGGAACGGGCGATAGGACGAGGGGAAATGGCCTCAAGTTGCACCAGAGCAGGTTTAGGTTGGACATTAGGAAAAATTTCTTCCCAGAAAGGGCTGTCAGGCTCTGGAAGGGGCTGCCCAGGGAAGGGGTCGAGTCCCCACCCCTGGGGGGATTTAACAGACGGGCAGAGGTGGGGCTGAGGGCCAGGGTTTGGGGGTGGGATGGCAGGGGTAGGGGAAGGGTTGGACTTGATGAGCTTAAAGGTTTTTTCCAACCTAAACAATTCTATGATTCCGTGATTCTAATAACTACCAAATGCCCCGTGACACAGAGATTTTGTGCCTGGAGAAATGGTTCATCATTTTGAGTTTTGACACCGATTGGCTGGCTTATTTTAGGGCTGTAATTTTAAAAGTCTGGTTCCTCATGTAAAAATAAGGGAAGTATTTATATTGCGTTGGCACCAGAATCACCGCTGGTACCTTGCCACACGGCATGCTACCATGGGCGCGCTTACCCAGACGCATGAAAAGTCAGCCCAAAACTGACCTACGAGTTTTTCGTTCAGCCGCAGACCTGAAACTACACAGCACACGGAACAGCATGCTGGCCGATGGGGTTTGTGACTGAAGGTGAAGATAGGACGTGGGAAGGAGCCAGCTTAAAGGAAGGATGGAAAAGAACGTACGGCAAAAGTGAAATAACGCCTGGGAAGCAGGGACGGTTTCAGAGCCGCATGGCGGTGACGGTCAGCATGGACGCTTCCTCTCTCCTGCGCTCCCCTGCTGCTCTTGCTACCTTGGATCCTGCCAAAACATTGGGAAATAATGGAGGAGAGGGAGAAGGACTGAAAGGTTTGGGCTGTCTGGTGAAAACACCGCGAGGAGCAGGGTTTGAGAGGAGGAAAATGTTTTCTTACCAGGTGTTTTCTTTCCCCTGACCGTCTGTTGCCACCCCTGCTGTGGGGGTTCTGCCTCCGTGGGGATCAGAGGCTGAATCCGGTCACCCCTGGAGCTCACGCCTCCATCCGGACTGGTCAGAACTGGGGCCAGCCCCGCGCCGGCGGACAGTTCCTCGGTACACAAATGCTGCTGCCACTCTTAAAAGCAGCCAGATTTGGTAAAGGGAAGAGGATTTCCACGAGTCTGAAGAAATCCTCAGCTTGCGCCCTGCGCGTGCCAGAGGAGGTCAGAACAGCAGGCGCTGACCTCAGAGCATGCCGAAGGTCCGTGGGAAGCACAGACCCAGCCCTTGCCCTAGGCAGCTTGCAGCTTTATTCAGCAGATAGGGAAGGGAAAAAAAAAACAAAACAAAATGCAGCTGGAAGGAAAAAGTCAGGTGCAGGTTTTGCCGATTCCACTGGAAAAGGATGCGGAGCGAAGAGGAGCGAGCGGTGTGGGTAAAGGGTATGAAGCAAAGACCACCAGGAGGGCGCAGGAGCAGGGCTTTCAAACTGGGTGAAACCAAAGCGACGTGGGCTGCCGCGCCGGCTCGGGGGGGCTTGCTTGCGGGAACGGAGGTTTCTGAACACAGAGCGTGTGTCGTGGTTTGACCCGGCTGGCAACTCAGCACCACGCAGCCGCTCGCTCACTCCCCCCTCCCTCAGTGGGATGGGGGAGAGAATCGGGAAGAAAATAAAAGGTTAGAGCTGCAGGCTGAGATAAAGACAGTTTAATAAGAGAAAATAATAATAATAGTAATAATGAGAATGATAACAGAATATACAGAATATACAAAACGAATGATGCACAATGCAATTGCTCACCACCCGCTGACTGATGCCCAGCCCGTCCCGAGCAGCGAGCAGTCCCTGAGCAGTGAGCAGTCCCCGAGCCACGAGCAGTCACCGACTGACCGAACTAACTAACCCCCCCGAGCATGACGTTCTATGGTATGGAATAGCTCTTTGGTCAGTTTGGGTTAGCTGTGCTAGCTGTGCTGTACTCCCAGCTTGTTATGCACCTGGGCAAGCAGGAGAAGCTCAAAAAGTCCTTGAGTAGTCTGAGCACTACTTGGCAACAGCTGAAAACATCAGTGTGTTATCAACATTCTTCTGGTACTAAATCCAAAACACAGCACTATGCTAGCTACTAGGAAGAAAATTAACTCTATCCCAGACAAAACCAGGACAGCTGGGACGTGAAGCCTGGTTTCTAGGAGGTGAAGGTGGTGTAATTAGGAACGCATACACATGCATATATATGCATATACGTATATGTGTACCAGAAAACCCCATTCTGGGCTAAAGCCAAGATGAGCTAATAAAGTGAAAGGGGGGGCGTGGAGGACAGCGTTGCAGTTCTTCCATTCATTTCTCTGGGCGAGGATGGATTCAGGCAAAGATGTTTGAGGAGTATGGCTGCTTTGTCATAAAGGTGAACTGGAATTAAGAATCAAAGCACTGGTATTAATTTACCAGCTGTCCTTTAGTGAGTACCTAACTCTACACCTTTCAAGTCTGGGCTATGGATGACTAAAACCTTTCCTTTTGACCGGAGAGCAAGGAAATATTTCTTGAAGCTTTGGGTCCTAATCAAGTTCATAACCTTGCATTTCTCTATCGGCGCATTACCGATCCGGAACATATTACTGGATTTGGTGGAAAGCTGTACTTATTGTGTGAACCACATTCAGAGGGACGTCAAAACATACCAATAACCTTTTTAAAAAAGTAAATTTTGCATGACTTCTGTTAGATATTTTAAGTTCAGAATTCCTGCTGGCTCACGTAATCAGATGCAGCCATTACCTTCAAGCGCCTTTTAATAAATCGGCGTAATACCCTTTAGGCCAGGAGGCGAAATTGTAATGTTTCTACTCTCTAATTAAATCCTACAGTGTGCATAGGGTAATCAAAGTACTTTTTCCACTGATAAAGCAGCTTGGTTTGTAATCTTCCCTTCTACTGTCCTCACCGGGACAGTGTCCTGGTTTCGGCTGGGATAGAGCTAATTTTCTTCACAGTAGCTAGCATAGTGCTGTGTTTTGGATTTAGTACCAGAAGAATGTTGATAACACACTGATGTTTTCAGCTGTTGCCAAGTAGTGCTCAGACTACTCAAGGACTTTTTGAGCTTCTCCTGCTTGCCCAGGTGCATAACAAGCTGGGAGGGAGCACAGCCAGGACAGCTGACCCAAACTGACCAAAGGGCTATTCCATACCATAGAACGTCATGCTCGGGGGGGTTAGT